GGAAACCCCGGACAGGCCGGGAGTTGGCGCAACGTGGAGGCCGCTCGCGCTGCCCACCCTCAAAACTGTGGGCGAGCGGCACCCCCCGGACAGGCCCACAGTCGGCGGCGTTTGGGGGCCGTTTTCGCCGCCGCCCTCCTGAACTCCGGGCGAACGGAACCCCCCAGTCAGGCTCATGGTCCGCGACATGTGGGGGCCGTCCTCGTCCAAAACCCCGGGCGAACGGACCCTTCCGGACAGGTCCACAGTGGGCGGCGTTTGGAGGCCGCTTTCGCCGCCCCTCCCCAGCACCGTGGGCGAACGAGCCCCCCCGGACAGGCCCACGGTCGGCGGAGCTTGGGGGCGGCTCCTACCCAGGACCGCGGGCGAACGGACCCCCCCGGACGGGCCCGCGGTCGGCGGCATCCAGGGACCGCTCTCGCAGCCCTCCCCCAGATTTGCGGCCGGGCAAGACCCCGCAGTCAGGCCCACTGTTGCAGGTGGCGCGCCGAAAAGGCTTCCGCTTCCAAGGTTGTCGCTTCTCTTGGACGGAGTCGGAGGCCGAGCGGGCAGCATAGCGGGGTCGTCAAACGAACCCTGCAAAGAAAGTTTCCGATCTGAAATGATCGTTTGATAATGCATGCCAAACCTGAAACGCTCACTAGCCAAAAACAAATCCAAGAAGGTTCCAAAACAGGACGTTTTTAAAAGGATTCGGTTACCAGGTGCTATTTAATCTACTTACCAACTGCCCTTTGGGAAAGAATCGACGGGTCCACTTGCCGAAAACGAGGCGAGGTTCCGGTTAAATTCAAAACTTGGACAAGATCAAAGTTGTTCGCCAGCAAACCTGAAGTCCGTCTCTATCTTCCAACGTGCACCAAGACGATTGAAAACCTCCAATCTCGTTCGTCTCAAAAGACCGTCGGAGGTTAACTGTTGGTCACACTTAAGTTAAATGAGTAATATACCAAGTTGCCCATGTAATTGAGCACTTACCTCTTCGAGCTCCGGAAGATGGTCCATCTCCTGGGCCTGCTCGACGGGGATCTCAACTGCAGGCGCTTCCGGCAACCTCTCAGCCCCAAAAACCTCCCTTGGGACGAAGTCTGCCGGAACTGGTTTCCAGCTTGGATAGGGATTCGGTTTCTGCACAGCTGCGGCGGCCTTCTGGATCGACTCTATCAGGCGGCCATTGTATGTGTGCAGGTCCTCTTCGCCCTTGTTGCGGATGCCTGCATCGATGTTCCACCTGCAAAGAGGAATATCATTGGGTTCGAAAGTCTGTTCACCCAAAGCGTCGTGCTTGAATCGGCGAGAGAGTACAAAAATCACACCGCCTATGACATAAGCATGGTGATAGCCTCCAAAGTGAAGTCGAACGAATTGACCAAAGACGATAATCTGAAAAGTAGGGAGGCTAAAGCAAGGTATGCATCGGAACCTGAAAAAGAACCAGATCACAAAAGTCTTTTCGAATAAACAGAAGAAGCTTTGGATGGAACCAGAAACGGAGTTCGGCATTGGGTGTAATCATGGACGAATTTCACAAACAAAAGTTTGAACCAGATCAAGATCTTTCACAAACAACTCTTTGAGCCAGATTCTAAACCGTCCGAATCCCTTCACGTACCGGAGGATGAACCGGCATATCTGGTCCCCAGCAAGCTGTGGGCTGTTGTTGTTTCCGGAGCAGACGCCGTTCACGTGGGAGTGCCACCCCTCCTGCTTGCTGGACCCTCTCTTGCTCACATATGTCGGCAGCTTGGCTCCCGGCTTGCTTCTAACCGTGTACATCGGACCAGGAGGATCTGCAAGTGGAGAAGTCTGCTTGATTTTGGACACGAGCCAGGTCTGAGTACGCAACCAATATAAAGTTGTCCAAGCAAACATATAACTCGAGAAACATGGGCTAGCACGAAAGAGGTGTCTCGTTGTCAAAGTGATCACCTCCGGTGCTTCATACATATGCAAAGGCTCAAGGATTACAGCATTGAAGTGCCATCAAGAGCATTCGGATCCCCTCGGATCTGCATTTTGCATTTCTATAGATATCCCACCTGTCAGAAAGTCGTCATTGATGAGTCCCATCAGCCGGTTGATGGCGCGCTCTTGGTCTTCCGTGGTCCCCATGAAGAGAGGAAGCCCGTTCTCAATGTCGGCTGTGGCTTGGAAGTGCTGCATACAATCGACATGATTGTCAGAAGGCCACAAAGCTCGTACGTGTGGGCAGTCCTGTGTCGCTCCAAAGTCCGGATTTACAGCTTGATGTTTGTCATGAAGGAGCGAACTTGAGTTTGATGTACTAGGGTCTGGATGCATGACCAACTTGCTCAGCAAGACAGACTAGTCGTATGGTGTAAACAAGACAGGTGCTCGGATCAGAGCTTGATTTTAGCGATGGATTGCCCACTCTTACCCGTACGGTTCGCTCGAACATAGCTGCTTGCTCCTCCTTTGGTCGAGAGTGCCTTCTGCAGCGCTTCCAGAAGTAGGCAGATCCGAGCCCGATAATTTCCTTTTCCGACATGTTCCGCTCCGATCGCAGGTACTTGCGCAGGGCCAGCTCGTCAGCACGGTTGATAGTAAACAGCGCGCACACCACCATCCGAAGCAAGGGCCCTGAATTAAGAGAAGTGCAGAGTGCAGGCATTAGTAAGGAAAAGCAAAGTTGTCAACGTTGCAAATCAGCTCGCTCCAAGTGTTGACCAATCTCCAGCTTTGAGACAAGAGAACATCATCAGTTTGGCAGTCTGCTGGTGGAAAGTTCTTGCACACCAATCTGAGGGACCATTCAATGGCCAGCATCTAAGATATTTCAAATCAGGCCTACAAGCACCATAGATTATCACAAAGTACATGTGCACCTGACGTTGAGTGCTAACCAGCTTGGTGTGTTGGTCAATCCCTTGAAAATAGCCTGATTGGATTTTTGCAATCTCTTAAAAGCTGAGGTTTCGCACGATAGTCTGGACTGCGAAAGGCTATGACTTTCTCCTTGTGATCCTGTCAAAGCAAAAAAATTTGACCAAGACTGCTCTCAAGGGTTCAGAATTTACTCACCTGTTAGAGAATGCGTCTCGTACAAGAGCTTCTTCAGGCGGCTCAGAAAGTGGAAGAAGTCCAGCTTGACGTGCTTCAAGCCATATGAGTGCAAGGCCCCCAGGTATGCTGCGCCTACTAGGTCTGGATTGTCGAGGTAGAGGATCTCGGGTACCTGCCAGCAGATAAGCTTTTAAAAGACCGAGCCACAAGCATGAACCAACTACAAATACCAAGATTGACCCACGAAATGCTACTGCGTCTTTGGCAGACTGGCTTTTGACAACGTCTTTTGAATCGGCACTCATGTGATTGCAAGAGCGTGCATATTGTTAATATTCTCCAGCAAAGACCATCAGATTGAAAGCAACTTCATTCCACAAGTGTTTGAGATTGGAATCTCATGTTTCATTTTGAAGTGGGGTATCCTACCTCCAGGCCCAACGCAATACAGCGCTCGTAAAAGAGTCGCGCCTGCATAAGGCACTCCTCCATACTTGTGCTCTCCACGAAGATTGACGAGCAGATCTGCGCATGCTCGTTCATGAAGCTGTGCAATGCCTCAAACCTCTGCTCTTGACCCTGCCGGATAGCCTTCATTGTCTGGAAGGTGTGATCCGCGCACACCGTTCGGCCGCTGTAAGTGCACAGCCGCTTTGTGACGTACTCTCGGCTGCAACAGAATGTTAAAATGTTTGCACTCAATGTACTGGATGCATATCGTCCTTAGCAATCCTGAGCAGTCCTGATCTCCTTAGCAGTCCTCAGAAGTCTTGAGCTGGTTAGCAGTACTTAGCAATCTTGAGCTCCTTGGTTCGGTCCTTAGCAGTTGTGAGCAGCTTACAAAGAGGCACCACAGAGGACACGCAACTTTAATCCTCTTCCATACGCGAGCTGGCAATCTAGACATTGAAAGTGAGCAATGAACTTGTGTTTTAAGACCTTCTCCTAAAAAGAAATGTCCAGTGTAAAGCAGACAGTGTGCTCTACCCAATCAAGCAGAGAATGAAACAGGTACGCAAGAGTTGTGCTCACCTTTCCTCGCAGTCATCTTTGTAGACCTGTGTGAGGTAGCTAGCGGACGGAGAGCCGCCCCGATACCCGGCAGGGTCAGAGAAGGAGCTGAACGGCTCGAGCGGTTTGGGTGTGGCAAAACACAGCATCCCCTGCTTCCTCAAGGCCTGCATTGCATCTTCGTAAGACAGGCTCAGGAGATGAGCTCTGTAGTAGTTCGAGTACGCTAGCTCTTTCAGCATGTCGTGCTCGTCAAGGAATGACTTCTTGTTGAGCACGTCCCTGTCTATGAGATCAACCAGAGGCCGATGAAGAGCACCCCTGTGCGTTCTCCTGAAGGGCAGCTGCTGGTCAATCAAAGGGTGCAGGAGGCTTAAGCTGACTGGATTGAGCGCATTGAATGAGGTGGCTTTTCCGCTGCCCTCTCTCCTAGCCTGGATGCAATCTTTGCAGCGGTAGCGCTTGGCGAGGATGAGGAAGGTGCAAGCAATCCCATGAGCTACCCGAAAATCTCTTTCCCAACCATCCGGGCCAACGCCAATTGGGTTTCTGCATCGCGGGCAGGGGATTTTCCCCCCTGGACAGAACTTGTTGTGGAAGACATCAGGGGCACAGATTACCACCTTTGTGTCCTTCCAATAGAAATCCTGGACTGTTGGGTTTGCGAGGAGCACTGGATTGGGAGGGGAAAGGATGATGTCAGGGAAGAAGTCAAGGTCCAAGACCCCTTTGAGCTGGCCATTCTCTACGCTAGGAAACTTATGCTTGAGCAAATAGCCTTTGAGCCAGGGCAGCAGCGGATGATTCTTTACAATCTCGAAACCTTCTTCGGGCACCGTTGTGCCTGGAGCGTCCCAATCAGCAGGCGGCTTGAGCTTCGAACATGCCATCCTTGCCAAATACCTTAGCTCTTCCTTTCACTGCTCTGTTCGAAGCACCCCCGAAGCACCGTTTCCCCCTCAACAGGTAATCTGCCACATGCGGGAATACATGCAACCCATGCAGCTTCAATGAAGCTGTTCGGGAGCTGTTCAAAGCCTCTTCCTTCCCAAGCTGAGAATCGCCAATGGCAAAGGCAGCCTGAGGTCAATCAGAACCACTCATGGTACAGTGGCACTGGTTTAGGTACCGTAGTAGTACCAGGCTCCTGCTGCAACTTCTCCAAAATCCCAAATTTTGAATTCTGTGGTGGCACGAGTGTCGGACGAGTTGCGTTCGAACCTCAAAGCTCCACCGTCGATCTGCTAATTTGTCGACGGTTAGAGGAATTTTCGTTCTAAGATATCCTAGTCTTTTGGTTGGTCAATAGAACGTTTCCACCTTGTACAGACTTGCGTACAAACCGTTGCGATGATCGGAAAGAACGCGTTCTAACGTTCTAACTTTGAATCGTGACCGTCCGGAGCTCCCGACGCTCCGCTTCGCGCCGTCCCACC